ATTCTATTAAAAGAAGTCAATTCGTAAACAATGGTTGATTCATTTTTTAGGTGTGTCTCCACCCTACGAATTTCATTAACGATCCTGCAGTTCCTTCAGAAAGATGCTTCCTCCAGAGACATCCTCAGAAGGGATTTTTTAACCTACGTTATGCACAATAAACTAATTATAGCCACAACGTAACTAAAGAGAATTAAAATGTTAAATACATTTTGTCTTCTACAATCCTTGACTACACAGATTATTAAAATTGAAGCAAAAACTGATGCAGTGAAAAGAGTCTGATCATGGTTCAACTGCAGTGCGTCAAGAGTGCGTCGTGATATTGCAAGGGGTTCTTACAACTGTTCTAACACTATTTCACTATGAAATATTATGTCAATATATCTATGATTATGTAAATAATTGAACTTGTAAACTGAAGTGTATTAAATTAATCATGAACAAGTGCGTCAAGAGTGCGTCATGATATTGCAAGGGGTTCTTACAACTGTTCTGACACTATTTCACTGTGAAATATTATGTCAATATATCTATGATTATGTATATAATTGAACTTGTAAACTGAAGTGTATTAAATTAATCGTGAACAAGTGCGTCACGAGTGCGTCGCCTTGAAACCAAATAATTTTGACCTGACTCTTCCTATCAGCAATAAGATAGGGGTGGTTTTAAGCTTCACCCTGTAAGAAATAAATGAAAAGCACTGACTGCATATTGTACTCCAGTGAATCGTTTTCAAATAAAAATTATAAATAGTGACAAAAATGATAAATAGTGAACATCTTCTGTAGACAAAATGGCGCCCTGAAAGAGGCGTCACTTAGAACAACTTCGACTTGAACAACTTCCATGAATCTTAATTTACCAAAATTCTGACTAAATAGAAATTTCATCAAGATTCAACTAATTTAAACCTCAGTTGAAAATGTGAAGGAAAACTTGAAACTGTTAATTAATTTTCAAAAATCATTTCCACGGAATCTAAAGCGTTTCGAGAGTACTGCTTCGTTGCGAAAGAACGATCAGCACTTCGCTTAATTTCCCATTTAGCAACAGTTTCCTATTTAGCAAGCAGCTTTCCAGTCCTCGAGATTTTGACTGTTAGGTTAGCTGACATCTCGATCGTTCAGGTGACCAATTGGTGCATCTGCGAAGTTAATACGAATTATGAAAGCCACTGTGAGAAAGACGATAACCTGTCCGATGAAGATAGAGAGAGAAAGAGAGTCGCGTGCGTGTCCTATTATATTACGTAAGCGAATGAACCACTGGATTCCAGCTTGCTCGGACCTCAGTGTTTTCCGATCGAATTCTACGAAATTTAACTGATTCGAGTGGAATGAGGATGAAGTTTGTGTAGCAAGAGTTTCAGGGGATTTGAGTTGGGTGCAGTTTGCTAATTTCCTGAATTTGGGGCTGGGGTTTGGAGATTTGGGAATTTGGGGGTTTGGAAGTTGGAGTTTTGAGAATTTGGGAAATTGGGGGTTTGAGAGTTTGGGGAATTTGGAAATTGGGGTTTTGAGAGTTTGGGGAATTCGGATATTGGGACATTGAGAGTTTGGGGAATTGGGAAATTGAGGATTTGAGAATTTGGGGATTTGAGAAATTGGGGATTTGGAAATTGGGGTTTTGAGTATTTGGGGATTTCGAAAATTGGGACATTGAGAGTTTGGGGAATTGGGAAATTGGCACTTTGAGAGTTTGGGGATTTGAGAAATTGGGGATTTGGAAATTGGGGTTTTGAGTATTTGGGGATTTCGAAAATTGGGACATTGAGAGTTTGGGGAATTGGGAAATTGGCACTTTGAGAGTTTGGGGAATTGGGAAATTGGGGGTTTGAGAATTTGGGGAATTTGAAAATTGGGATATTGAGAGTTTGGAGAATTGGAAAATTGGCACTTTGAGAGTTTGGGGAATTGGGAAATTGGCACTTTGAGAGTTTGGGGAATTGAGAAATTGGCACTTTGAGAATTTGGAAAATTGGGAAATTGGGGGTTTGAGAATTTGGGGAATTTGGAAATTGGGGTTTTGAGAATTTGGGGAATTGGGAAATTGGCGTTTTGAGAATTTGGAGAATTGGGAAATTAACGCTTTGAGAATTTGGGGAATTGGGAAATTGGGGGTTTGAGAATTTGGGAATTTGGGAAATTGGGGATTTGAGAATTTGGGGAATTTGGAAAAAGGGGGATTTTGAGAATTTGCGGAATTTGGAAATTGGGACATTGAGAGTTTGGGGAATTTGGAAATTAGGGTTTTGAGAATTTGGGGAATTGAGAAGCTGGGGTTTTGAAAATTTGGGGAATTGAGAAATTGTAGTTTTGAAAATTTAGGGATTTGAGAAATTGAAATTTTGAGGATTTGGAGAATTTGAATTTGGAAAATTTAGAATCTGGAGATTTGGAAGTTTAGAGGTTTGGGAAGTTGGAATTTTAAGGATTTGGGGAATTTGAAGTTGGGAAATTTAGAATCTGGAGATTTGGAAGTTCAGTAGTTTGGGAAGTTAGAATTTTGAGAATTTGGGAAATTGGAAGTTAGGTAATTTAGAATTCTAAGATCATAAAAATTTGAAGATTTGGAAACTTGAAGTCTTAACAATTTACAAAAGTGCAACTTTATAAATCAAAAAACATAAAGAATTAAAAGACAGCCAATCTGAAAACGAACTCAATGCTTCCCAAAAAATGTACAATAAAGAATCTACAAATTTTCAAACTAAAAATCCTATTTTCCCCAGTATCTTACAAGTTTACACAATACACCAGTATTGACAATTAATGCGTGCTCTTCTAGCTAAAAGCTTCTTTTTACTTGTTGATTCTCCGTTCCCCTTCCGAGTTGTCGTCTGAAAACAGCATTACCATAAACAAATAGAACGCTCAAAAATAGTCCCCGAAACGTTATCTTGATTCGAGCAAGCACACTTAACAGTGATTCCTTTTGTGTTTTGCGTCCACAAACTTGTGTCACTGCCAGATAACAGCTCGTCGTAATTTTTAGCGTGATGCGATGAAGTCATATTAAACAATCAGAAATTGAGAAAACGTACTTATACATAATATTGAAACACACTGTTTATGTCGAACTAAAATATCGGATGAAATAACAAATTTCAGTTACAAATAAATCGGTACACTTATTTGGACTTGGACTTTTTTGTCATTTTCTTGTGAAAAATTTTTTTATAAAAAATAGGTGTATATACGTAAGATTATATTATAAAAAAATTATAAAATTATATGCAAAAATATTTGATCATTGCTTTTAGTAAAAGTCCGATCACGCGATATCGCGTGTGAAATACATGGTGTTCCAACGCTGCGGTATCCGTCGTGTAAATTGCGGCGTCGAGCGGCAGCCATCACCGAACGCGTAAATTTAGCGGTGAGTATCAGGCATCGATCACTATAAGTTCATTAATTATCTATCTAAATATATTTTACATTTAAAAAGAACCTAACATTGTAAAATAAATTTTATATATAATTTTATAACCTCTAAAAATTACTAGGTCAATTTCAAATAATAAAAAATGACGAAACTCCATTTCTATTGAAGCTCCCTTGGGAACTCTTAAATTCCTGTTACTGTCAATCCACCATTCGCAGAAAAGTTATAAACATTATGGAAATCAGCGAATATTTGACATTAACGTATTTAAATAAATTACCCGAATAATAAATTATCTGCCGCTTGTCTTGCATTGAATCGTTAACGAGGTTTTCACTTAAAAAATTATAAATCGACGCGTCTTGCCAACAATTAAAGGTGACATGAAAAATTGTGTGTTAAGCTTGGATGTTCTGCAGGTTAAAAAAGTTCCTCAAGTTTTTTTACACCGAGATTGACAAATTTGAACAAGTCTTTCTTCGTGTGGGATTTAGAAACGTTCTATAAAAAATAAACTGTTACTCTTACGTAATCTGAACACATCTCTGTAATCCTGCTTCGTGTGTTAACTGTTACCACCCGTATTTACGTAAATCGTATCTCTCTTTTACACGCGAAAAATATTTTTTTCGAAACCGGTCTTAAAACGAGCATTTTGTGCTTTTTCTCGGAAATTAGATACAGTGAGGAATTGTTCCACGCTCGAGTCTTGGACAGTTATTTTATTATGGTTATGCAAAGATTTTATCTCCTTATTAATTAATTATTATATAATCTGCAACGTGTAATTCGACAGAGTGCTTTTTATTTTCTACGATTGTGCCTAACCTTTTCGACGGTCAAAAAGGCGGGAATATATTTGAATTCAAATTAACTTCGATTACTGTTAAATGTTTTATAATAAACAATCGAATATCTGTCATTGTTAGAAAATAAAGTTTCTCAGGCAAAGAATTCCGGGAAGTTCAGGATGGTCAACAATATTTTTCCATGACGCATCGCTCAATAAAGTTACTAAAAAATGCTCGAAATAAATCGCCGAATATTAGTGGGCGTACTGGGTTTAATTGTGTATCGCAAACTGACCTACTAACCGGGTGTCCTTAAAAGTTTCCATTTTTCGCGCGGTAATTATTATAAACATAAACGCGATTGCATAACAAATAATCCATTATTTTAAACACTACCGTCAAATAAGATTACGTACTTGTAAATAGTTAGCTTAAGAATTATATGCATTGTACTGAATTGTGTTTATAATTCTGTAAACAATGAATCAGCGCTTTGGTACGATTTTATAAACACCTCATTAACGCCTAATTATATGGGTAATCATTCACAAATGAACTATTATTTAAAATTGGTCAAGTTGAAAAGCAATTTATTTAACAAAATTTTATAATTCGATACAATAATTACATAGTAAATATATGTAGCGCGAATAAATGATATTAATTAGTTCCACAATTTTTGTACTGACCGCCATTTTGTTTTAGCAGTCCAAATTTGCATATGTAAACGTAAATTGCAAGAATAACGAAAAAGAGAATTTAAGAAACTTTGTCACTCAAAACTACAGTGACGAATTATGACATAAGATGGAAACCTACCAAATATTTAATTAACAAATTCTTAACTCGAAATTTGTTTAATTTGTGTACCGTGTGTGTGTAAATGCATGTTACGTCACGGCCAACAAACATCAACTCGCACTACTTTTTTAAATTTTCGAATTAATTTCATTTGTTTCGAATAATAAATTGCTGTGTTATAAAAAAAGTGCAAGGAAGCTACTAACGATCGAACTATCGAAAATTCCGGAACTGATCGAAAATATCGGACGAAAACGTTTACCTGCCAGTCCCATTTTCGAAAGACACGCGAATGACAGCTTCGAATCAAACTCGAAGATCCTTGATCGATCGTTCGCCGATCCTCCCGATCAGTTTCCTCGGAAAAAGCTCGTTGCAGGTAGCCTCCATTATCGTTCTTATCACCAAGACAGTCGCTTGACGAATTACGTTACAACGCGGTCGCGGTTAATGGCGTAATTGATCGATCGCCGGCGCACGATCTATCGTTCTTCGATCACGACACACATACGGACTTGTTCGATCGTTAGAGCGATAAGACGGGTTGACACGCATAGAACCGTGATATAGATACCGCGAAAACTAGTATCGTAAACAATTTCGATAGTTTCTTACGAACGTCACGGAGAAGACTGGCGAGCAGCTGACGGGTTTTGCGCTCAGCTCGCGAGCTAAGAGTGGGGGCGACTCGAGTCTACCATACAGAATGAATATAACTCCGAGTCTAGAGATAATTATGGGTGGGGGAAACGCGCCGCTCCATTGGACTAGGAGTAGAGGTATTGGAAAATACATACGTAATTAACCGCTACCTAAAGTGATTTGAATTTCCCGCGCTGACTAAGGGTTGATTCTAACTTTATAATTCTATCTATAATTTTACAAACGTTCTATAAATTCATAAGTATGACCTGACTTTTTTATTTATTAACTTGAAACAAAAATATGCGTAAAATTTTTATCGACCATTTCACGTTATAAATCAGTGTTACTAAGCTCGAATTTCTTTGCCTCGCGAATCCCTTGGGACAGAAACGCGAGCAATTTAAAATGTCATTCGTGTACTCGGTGACATAATATCCTGTGATTTTCGTTTTACATGATCGTCCAACAGACTCATTCCCTGAATCACCGTATAACTTGATAAGCATTTTAAGGTTGGATATGAATTTTATTTGTACGTAATGCACGGAGGTCTTCAAGGGGGGCAATATAACGGGAGTCTACTGTAACGCTGAAAACTCCAGCGATTCATAGAAACTTTCCGCAATGAAATGCGAATTAAAGTTAATTATAACCAGTGAACGATTCGTGCACGTGCGAAAAATTTTCAAGAAAGCATTCCAGACTCGTCATTTCTCCACAAAGGATAACAATTAATTTAGCACCGTGTATTTCCATCTATGGGGCAGCTCAAAGAGGGAGTAACAAACGTAACAAAGCCAGTGGCTTGCAAAATGAGTCAGTTTGCGATAAAACGGAAAGGAACGAAACTGATTCTACTAAGAGAGACACAATGGGACAGCCGTAAATGAATCATTTTATGTGCTGGCCAACTATTTATCGACGGGACGATAATTGTGCTCGTATAAGAATCTGTGAACCTGCCTTAATGAATTTAATGGTATGAATATTTGTCACTAGTACTATTTTCCTTCGAGTAGTTCTTTATACTTAACGCATACCTTTTATCTCTGAATCTGAAAAATATTATCTAAATTTTTATATCTGAACATTTTTAAGGTCTTGATAAAATTGGAGTAAATATCTGTAGGCAATCTTGTGACATAAATCAATGTTTTTAGATTGTATAATTGTTATAAAGGGATGATTCTTTACCTGCTTGAAATAAAAGAACGCAAAATGCTACTATTGTTTTTAAATCACCATGCATATCCAAGATAACTGTTTTCGACGAAAGGTTATTTTAATTCGCCGAGAGATTAACGTATTTATCTGAATTTTTTCACGAGAAATTTGTTTGCAAGGGAAGAAAATTACGTTCCCGTTTTTCGAAAGAAAACTTTATCTGCGTCCGAGTGAACGTGCTTAATCACGATTGTTACAAAATCCCCTTACAGATAATGACCGTAATTAGCACTAATTAACTTCGAACTATAAGCTAATTATAATTACTGGAAGCAATAATTAAACAAAAATTTAAACATATTTTATTGTTTGATATCGATTGTTAAATCAAATTTACACAATTTGAATAGCTTGGAAACTTTTCGGTTCATGATAACTGCATTAATTAATTTGTTAAATCTGCTTCCAATTTTTAACTTGCAAATGAAACTTATTTTTTAAATCATTCATTCACTTATTCTGATTATAAATCCTTTCATTATAATTATAATTGCAACCTAAAAACCTAGCCATAATTAGTTTAATTTAATTCATTTTATAAAACAGGTTGCTAATTTTTATATAAGAAAATATTTGCATGTAATATTTTTCTTTCAAGTTTCACACTTCAATTTTATTATAGCATATATCAGTTTTATCTTCCTTATTTTGTTTGTTTTTTATGCTGTTTTTTAAACAGCTCCCTCAGTAATCATAGAAATATGCTGAGAATGTATACAATTGATTAGACTTACCAAAAACTTCAAAAAGCTGATCGTCGAACCGCATTGTCGCGATGACGTTGACTTCGAACAGCTCAATAATGTTTATAGTAGTGCACAGAAATAACACAGACACGCACGAAGTCTTTCTTCACGTGGCTGTCATGCTTCTATCACCGTGCAGGCGATCGCGAACGATAACCTTACGAGACTATTCGACCATCGCGCACGGAGGTCGCTGTGCGACTAAATGTCAAAACATTACTTCGGTCGTTAGCTACTGTACGCGTGGAGGGAGTGACGTGTGCCGGTGGTGGGGGGAGCGCTTGACCAATGGTGGGGGTTAGTGCCACACGCTTAACCGAAAGCATACAGTGCGTGTATAAACATAAGTACCAACCCCTTAAAATTTCAATGATTTCGCCTTTAGAATATCAATTACTGTTCTTCAATTACTGCTACAGCATCAGGAATTTTAAAGACTTTTTTAATTCGATATGTTCTAATCAGTTCTGCTTCCGTAATATATCGGGTGACAATTACGTAACAAAATTAGTAAAAATTTGCTGCAATTGACATTTCAAATGTGACGAAGATACAAAATGAACAGATAAGTTACATATAATAAACAGACTTCTCTGGAATCATACTACTTACAAAAATAAAGTTACTGCAGAATTATTTAATCAGCTTAATATAAAAATTTGTCCAACATAGAAAAGCTTCGTCAATTATCGTAGCTGTAATATTCAGCTATCGAAATTATGAAACCTTAACATGTAAATACGCGAAAAATAATTGAATAATCTTTGTCACATTTATGTACAATGTTTATACAGATAGAACAATGGGTCAACGTGTCAAAGTTGCTGAATGTTACGTACGATTAGATACCTTTCCACTAATTGATCGTGGAAATTTTACAAGAAAGTGTCAACTTTGCAACAATGAAATTAAATATTCCTTAAAATTCAAATGAAAGTAGATCTGGCGGATACATAAATGCAAGATAACGCAACCTTTTATCGATCCGATAAAATCAATATGATTTCAGCAAAACACGATAAAAATTATGAAATAACAGCTGGTTTCGTACATTTATTAAGTACAGGCTTTTTCGAAAGCCTTTATCGCGCTCGATTTATCGATTTGTATCCTGTTCAATAATTTTATATACAAACACAAGTATAAATAATAATCATGCAAAGATAATGCGGACAAATATAGCGAGTGCAGAAATTTTTTGCAAAATTCGAGCATTGCATTATCTGGAACCGTTCGATCGAACTTATTTATTAGTTGCTATCACGTTAAGATAGTTTACGATTAGATGACATAAAACTATCGTAAAAAAATAATTGACAAATCGCGACACGTTTCGAGCACATGGCGAACTGAAGGTTGTAAGAAAGTTTATAAACGAAGGGGTCACTAGATAACCCCGAAGAGTACCCGTCGCATTTACTGTTTAAACGTTCGTTACCGATTTTCCACCTTCGAGACAATTATAAATCGATCATGGATGCTATCAGACCTTATCTGAAAAACAGAAAAAGCTGCAAAATCCTATCTATCGGGTATTAATCCGCATTTCTCGGAGGACAATACATCTGCCACATTGTATCGCTATTTTTCTTTCCACAGCTTCTCAGGTGGGTATTAAACTTGATAAGCCTTATCGATAATTGACCGATACTCCTCTATCGAAACAAGTAAAACCTAATCGTTATCGCTCTTAATTGTGGAATAACACAAAATTTATTACACTTAGAGATTTTTAATTTATGTAAAAATACTGTGAAAGTTTCATGTTCTTAAAGAATTAGGGTGCTCACCCCTTCCACATTTTTTTAAGCAATTTTTCTATATTTTCATGCAATTCTAAAGTATTCTAAGCACCATCATAGAACTTCCAAGTACTCCCATCCTTAAAATATTCTACACATCCCAAATTCTTGGTATTCTAATTGCTATTATAAGAATGACTGGTATACACTCATCCCTTATATCACAAAAATGTTTCCTTCTCTCCTTCTTAAATTCCTTCATATAATAAAAGTGTGTAAACAGTGTGAATAAGTAATCTCTAAAAGAGAATTGAATGAGTCAGAAAACAATCGAAGCCCGTTCATAGAATCATCCCTCGTAAACAAACGTTTACTGTTTCAGTAGATTCGAACCGGAAAAGCGATTTCTTTTCAGCAAAGAATGAGTCAAGGTTGACCCTATATCCGCAGTCGTGTAATCTGAAAAATTGATGACACATATCGGTCACGATAAGAAGATTATGTAAATGATAATCTTGCAAGAAAAACAGCATGGTCCGAGCACGCACGGCTCTTCCTCCGAGCACTATTAGATTGAGCAACGAAACGTTCCAATTCCGAGTTATCTACACTGAAAAATCTACGACTGAACACGTTCGTTTCCTGCATTTTCATTCGGATATTCTGTAAAATGAAATATCGTTAAATATCTAATGAAATATCGTTTATTTTGAAAGTGGTGTAAATCCATGAACATACATTATTTTATTTAAATGACGTAAGACAAGTATAATCAAATTTTATTATTGATGAATGAATAAAAACATTGCTGAATTACCAGCCTTGATATAATTAATCTATATTTTTTACTGACATACATAGCTTTTAATTTTCTCTAAATAAAATGGAGTCACATTTTCAAAATAAACGATCAACATCTATCAGATCAGATTAATTTTCGAAACGGGAACAGAGGTATGAATGCAAGCTTCAGCAAAGAAAAACAAAAGTTACGAAAGCGCCATTTAGCAGACTAAATGAAAAGGATCTGAAAATGTATTCGTAAGAGCAGAAGCTTGAAGACGCACAAAAGTGGCTGTCCAATTGAGTCGAGAGAATGACGAATGGCTAGAGAAAAGAAGCGAATGTTAATGTTTCTCTGTAACGTGGAAAGAAGTGTTTACAGCGTTACATTCAATAACAGAATTTGTGAGGACATTTTTGCATACATTATTACAAGGTGTTCCGTTACGAAATTGTCAGTGGCCTAACCGTATTGGCTATTAATAATAACGTGCGAGGAAAAAGAAACCCTAATAAATATGCGTCCTTCGCAT